GTCACTCTCAATCCAACTCCGTTAACTTTGTTGATATGGCTGTTAGAGTTGACCGTAAGAGGTATGACGTGGCAATTAAAAATTAATAAAAAAATTAATTTTAAATATTGCACCTCATTATCACTACTATCAATGTAGTCAAAATCGCGTTTTAAAACTTAAAAACTTACGCTTTTACGCTTCTAGGTAACCAACACACTTCTACGCATAATCGTCGCTTTTATATCTATTATAGTTAAAACCTACGCTTTTAAAACTTAAAAGCTTACGATTTTATACTTCTAGATCACCAAAACGTTTCCACGTAGAAACGCGCTTTTGACTATATTGACTACTATTAAAAAATAAAATAAAAATAAAAATATTCATTTTAAAATTACTCCTACCGTCATCGTCGCAGGTACTTGGGAGAAAAGCTTTTTCCTCTCGTCTCCTCAACTCCTCTGCTTTGCTGTTTCAATTTGTTTAATTTTTAGGTTAGCCCTAAACCATTTTCTGCCTTGGATGTTCTAAAATTTTGGGTTAGTGACTTGATCGGACCTTCGATAATGGCTAGTAGGGGTGGGCAACGGTGCGGTTCAGACCGCACCGTGCTGTTTTGATATAAACCGCACCACACCATTTTCAATTGGACCGCACCGCATGTTCGACCGCAATATTATCGGGCGGTCAAACCAAACCGTATATGTTAACGGTTTGGAGCGGTTTGGACCGCATTGCATGTTTGACCACAATTCATTATGAATTAAATATTTATTTAATTAAATTTCTACTACTGCCGAGAGCATCAACACTCTCTTTCTCATACCACCTAAACAAAACACCCCTCTGCTGCTGGCGGAAGGAATGAAAATGTAAATTGGCAAATAGAAATGGAAACAGAGGCAACCATGATAAGAGAGCAGAGCAGGAACTTAATACAAAAAAGAAACACAACTACTTGACTGATTGATGAGTTATAATTCCCAAAAGGAATGAGAATATAGATTAATGGCGGGAATAATTGATTCTTCTGGGAATCTCCTGAGGGATCGGTAGCGGAAGCGCGTCCATCTCTAGCAAGCTCGAAAGCGGAAGCTCGGCCATCTCTTGACGGATCGGGATCGAAAGTGCGTCCAGCGGAATGGCAGCCGTAGCAGAGAGACAATCCTGATAAGTAATATCCCTTCTCTTGTCACTACGAATGATTCGAAAAAGCTTAGCGGTTTGTGGTTTCCAACTGCTACCGCGCGGTTTGGGAGTGGCCGACCGCGAAACCATTAACTGCTTAATGATCAGACCGCATATCAAACCGTAACCTTATTGGTGCGGTTTGGATTGACCGCAAATGCGGTTGGTACGGTTTGGTGCGGTTCGGTCAAACCAATGTCCAGCCCTAATGGCTAGTGGAGCGGTGCCTTATGGTGGGCATATCCAATCGCTTCCATTTGCAGCGGGAGGCAACGGGCCTGGTTTTTCCGATGGATATCCACCTTTCAATCCGCCTGCGGGGAGGTTCGACATCGGGCGCTGAGGAGGTGAAGGTTTGCTGGTGGTCGTGGAAGGGGCCGTGACGGTGGAGGGCGTGGTGGTGGAAGGGGAAGTAGGTACGGCGGTGGGTCTTCGAGAAGCGATTTAGATAAAATTGCCCTGCCAAATCAGGATTTCGAGCAGCGGGAAGAGTAAGCGAGAGGAAGTAGACCTAGGGATGGCAATCAAACCCATGGTCGCGGGTATCCGACCGTATCCGATTCAGTCAACGCGGGAAATTTTCACTTTCACTGGGTATGGGAAGGGGAATGGGTAAAATCCGCAAAAAGTTTGATGAATATGGGGCTGGTATGGTTTTAACCTCCCCGCTCCATACACATACCCATACTCGCCCCACCAAGAGAATTTCTTCACGTATAAAAAATTATGTGGATCAAATTGTAATCTATCAATGATAATGAGGGTAATTCGAAAAAATAAGTAGTAAAAATGCAATTGAGAACCTGATGAAAACCATATTCATTTCTCTCAATTCTCCCTTCACTTTTTCACTTTCCCTTTTTGTCAACAAGATTAAATTAGTTAATTATTACTTAGTACATATATCGGAGTTAGAGCATAAAAATTTGGAAAATATTGTACATATGTATTAATGGATGTTTTTGGATCATATTCTTTGAACTGTGTTAAGCAAACGACTGTGTTTTGTTGACTTAATGATATAGTAGGTTCTTTTAATGTTATAATTAAAAAATTTATTGTAACGGTTTAGGTATAATAATGTTGGATGTATGGGGTGGGTATTACCCACGGGTACCCAAAACTCACGGGTATGGGGATGGGTTTGCAAAACACTCCCCCGCATGGATATGAAGCAGGTATGAGTTTGTCTATTTGAAAATGGGGATGAGGATGGTTTAGCCAAACCTGTCCCATTGTCATCCCTAAGTAGACCTAATCTCAGTATTGGGACTCCGCCACCGGCGTCACGGCGCTTGGAGGTGGCGAGGGACATGGGCTCATTCACCAATTTCAGTCGACGGTGAGAAAGAAGGGTGAGATTAGTTCATTAGGTTAGGAATTTAAAATGTATATTTTTTTTATTTTTTAATAGTAGTGATAATGAGGTGGAATATTTAAAATTAATTTTTTTATTAATTTTTAATCATCACGTCATACATTTAACGGTCAACTCTAAGAGTTGACCGCCATATCAGACAAAATTAACGGAGTTGGATGGAGAGTGACCAAACATGACATAATTTACTAAACTTAGTGACCACGAATGGAATTAAATATTTTTAGTGACCAAACATGAACGTTTTTAGTAATCTCAATGACCAACCTTGTCATTTACCCATAAATCAAATGAACAAAAAAAATTAAAATTTGTTTTCGAAATCTTAACTCAGAAGTTCATTTTAAACTTTATGCGACACAACAATATTAGAGGAATACTAAATGGACCCAGGTGAGTGACAACCAATGTTGTGAAAATTGTACTTCACGAATTAAAATCATACGCTTTTACGCTTTTAACTAACTAAAATGTTTTTACGTAGAAATACACATGATTCAAAATGAAAAAGGATAAATCATCTTTTTTCTTTTTGTGTGGACAAAACAGTGTCGGAGATGCACCACCACCTCCTCTAGTGAAAAGCACAGAAAAACCTCAACAACTAATCCAAAATCAAAACCGTGCAAGAGCTAAATCAATATAAAAATAAAGGAGGGAGAAGACGTAAGTATCTATTTCAATTTATTGACTCCTATGACCTATCTAATGCCAACACTTCTATGAAAACTGTACAACGTCAAAGATAACAACCTCAAATAGCAACCTTATTAAACTTGAAACCATTATTAATGTGACGTTGAGTTTGCTGTAGTTCGCTCATGAATTATATATACCAAATGGCTGGATGTTTATTTCTATTCAAAGTAGATTATATTAACAATGCAACAATAAATAATATTTTCTTAATAATTGGCAAAGCATACTAAGGATATAGTTGGAAAGATTATGTGGACAAGAAATATGGTTTGACATGGCTAGCGAAAGACCTTAACAAAGTATACATTTCGGCATTTTTAGTGTATTGGAATAAATAAATGCTAATCATTTCAGGATTCCATAAGTGCTTCTTATTGTTCCCTCTGCCTATAATTTTCATCGCCTATAATTTTCATAGATAATAATTGAAGTTTTTGTGGTAATATTAACAATGTGGTTTAATACAATGACTTTTTCTATTAGGATTTGAATACTTTGATTCTTTTGGTACCAACTAAATAGTATCTTACTTAACACCATACTTAACACCTTTGATATTATTATATATCATTATATATTCATGATCCACCTTTGAGTTGTGGACAAAACAATTGAAACTGGCTTTGTTGTTATGGATGGTATTGGAGCTCGATTTTCTGTAATGTCAGTTGTGATGCTATTCCAATACCATGATAACATGAGAGGACCGCCACCTTCTCATCTTCTACAAATTAAGAAAATTGTGTTAAATTTCAACATCAAGCTTAACGATTTACATGATCTCTAACCCAAAAGGTGAGTACATGCTTTACATGATCGGAAAGGATGAGGAAGAGCAAAATGAAAACGATCTTCTTCACTTGATTGTATCTGTAACACCCGTGGAATATTTCATTTTGTATTGCAATTGATTGTGTCCATCATCCACTAACTATCCTGCTATCAACTGTATACATCTTCAATTTGTAAAGCTATCAATTATTATACCATGTTTTTCGAATGATACTTAGGTGTATTCTTTAATTTGTATACAAATGCCTGTTGTTTAGAACTTCAAACTCTAACATAACTTTATTAAATCTCCCTCTAACATGTGTGCAAATGTATCCAACTACAATTTTTACTCCAATATATATTAATCACTTATGATTTGATAAAATCTCACCATATGGTGTACTTTTGAATGTCAACAATCTAAATTAATAATGTTGGATGTAATGAATCCAATGCTAGAGATGATGTTGCTGTTGAGTAAAAAGAAAGACAATATTTATGAGGGAGGTACAAGTACCGGTGATGGGGAGCAAAACACATCTTGGATAATGTTGATTATTTGGACTAGGTGAATTATACTCCAATAAAATAAATTATTTGTAGCCAAAATAAATGTGGTAAATGAAATGCACGAAAAACGGAAAAGACTATTGAAATGCAAGAGAATAATGAAAAGACAATTAATAACAGAGATAAATGTTTCACAAAGGATATGAAATATGAATACATTGTTATTGATGGAGATGAAATTCCTCATGGTTGAAGAAACCCAAATAAGTCCATCAAATGAACGTGCAATCATCTCTGAAAACGAGGAGTAAATAAAAGGTTGATTCAAACATTTTTTTAGTAGCCGGTTCCTTTGCATGCGGTTGATCTTTCATTTTCATAAAGAATCATAATTCATAAGTCTATAAATCAGTTAGAATATTGAAAAACAAACACTATGATGTTGATCATTCAAGTATTTAATAATTTGGATTCTCTTTGCTGATTGAATGTTGAGATAATTAAATAATTTATATTTTCATATACTATCAAATAAACATATAATTCGCTTACTAATTGCTACGATAGTTTATGCAATTGACGAAATGTATCCGGCCAACTGACCGGGCCTGTGGCTACTTACATCACATATCTCTACACTTCTACCTTACTCTATCATTAAGCTTGTCCAAACTCACTGAAGCATGTAAAGGATTAACAAAATCCAACATACATGTTTATATACAAAGTCCGGTACAGTAGTGAACCTAACACTGTGAATCTCAAATCAACCAGATAATACAGCAGCATGGGATTACAACACTACAAGAGAGAAGTTGTTACCAGCCAGAGAAGTCTTTGAATTCTACTGCTGGACCTCCAACTTTCCTTTTTTTGCCAACTGAAACTGTGGTGAGATCAGCGGAAGTAGCAGCTGATTCTGTTCCGGCACTCCTCGGTTTCAAGTACTTTCCCACGCCACCGCTACCGGCTTCAGAATCTGTCGCGCCTGTGCCTGGATTGCTATACCACGAGCCAACCTTGTCCTGGAGTTTCCGAAGAAAAGAAGCAAATCTCGTAAACTTCGAACATTACGTTAGGGGAAACATAGAAAGAACCAAGAGGTTTCCAAGGGGTGTCTAGGGTCTGACCTTATCTGCGTCCAGGGCAGCTTCCTCGGCTTTCGCCTTTTCCTCTTCTTCTTCATCGGGTTCAGTGTAAGGATTCACAAACACCGTCACACCAGTTATCTTTATCTCTTCCTGCAGAACAAGGAAATGAGTTTATCGCCCAGGGCCAGAAGCAATGATCTATAATTTCTTGGAACTTCGGTCTCTCATTTGCTCTAACGTAAATCAACCAGGGGCATGCAAAGCAGAACAACTCACCAGAGGTCGGTCATCGTCATCAACAGGAACCTTCTCCATTGTCGCCAACGTAGTCAACCCACCAACAACCGTCCCAAAAACTGTATGCTTAAAGTTCAAATGATTAGCAGACTTGTACAGGATGAAAAACTGAGATCCATTCGTATGGGGACCACTGTTCGCCATACTAACGACACCTCTTCCCGAATGAACCAACTTGGAGTTCAGCTCGTCATTGAAAGGTTGGCCCCATATAGATTCACCCCCTTTCCCGGTTCCGGTGGGATCACCACCCTGAATCATGAAATTCCTGCACATATAGCCCCCAACTACTGAGTCAACATGCTACCAAAAGAAGGTATGAACCAGAGACGTCAAACTCATCGTGACATAGCAAAATGAATAACTTACCGTATGTTCCTGTGAAATATAACTCCATTATAATAGTTCTTTTCACAGAGTGTTAAAAAGTTCTCACATGCCCTCGGGGTGATGTCACAATGCAGCTCAATGTTCAGATCACCATGCGTCGTATGCAACTGCACATAACCTTTCTTTTTTGGGTTTCTCTCGACCTTAACATATTCATACTCATTTTCAGTCACGGGGGTGAAAGCAGTGGAAGTGAAAGATCGAGAGGCTGCACCAGTGGTGTAGCGACTCTTCACCTGAAAAGGAAATCACATGTTAGTCTATGGCCAATGAGACCTCTAGTTATTCTTTTCTTGACAACGTCTTCATAAGCAAATGCAAAAACAGTGGAAATGCATTAGGCAGATAAACCCAAAGAGAGGCGGAACAAGGACACATACTGTAAGCATATATCATATATCTAAAGCAGTTTAAACAGAAGCTTAAAGCTCACTTACCAGCTTCGCATTGACAGGTGCCCTCTCACCAGCCATATGCATTGCTATGCGGGCAGCTGTCTTATCTGTTGATGAGGCTTTTGCTGCTGCAGCACTTCTCCCGTGAACTGCAGCTGATGCAGCATCAACAACACTGAATCCCTTGGATGGTCTATCTTCATCTTTGGATTTAGATTTTCGATCTTCTTTAATCCGTGATCTCGCAGCTAAAATTGCAGCAAGCGCAGCAGCTCTCTCATTTCGTGCCTTGCTACCACCACCTCCATGGAGTGCAGCTTCTCTTCCTTTCTCAGTTCCAAGTTCATCCAGCATTTGCTTGATATCACCACTTACGTTTATGTTATAAGCTGGATCTGAAGTCATCTTCTTCAGCTCTAGCACACGAGAAAATTTCTATTAGCCAAAATTGTGGAAGGCCAAGTAATAAAATCCATATTTGACAGCATTAGATCCGTACGATCTTACCTTCATCATCTAATTTCAGGTCATTCTTTATGTGGTCAAACTCAACAGTAACTCTAGAGTCAAAAGCATTAGGATTCTGCACAGAAACCAAAGAGATAAGATCATGTGTAACAAAAACAATCAGGGCAAGGAATGACATGACAAAATATTTAGCCATCCATAAATATTGTGAACTACCTGGAGTGTAATCAGATCCTCTCTAGTGAATGGTTCGTCAGTAAGGAGCTCCTTCCAGTTTTTCGTCTTGATATTTAATTCTTTCACTGCCTGAACACATAAATTTCAACAAATGATAAATATTACAAAGAAGGGGAACCTGGCTGAAATAACAATCCAGATAATAAGAAAGCATCAAACCTCATAGCAAAAAACATTTCCAGTAGTCTTGATGGCTACTATATGTGTGAACTCCGTAAAAACTTTGTTGAGCACTGGGCAATGGAACTCTTCTGTTTAGAAAAAACAAAAGATACTAGGTTACAAAACACATTGAATTGGCCGTCAAGCAGATGCAAATGGTGAATGCAAAAAGAGGAGCAAGGTATCCAAACATGGATCCTGCTTTCATGATAATTGATGATAACAACTAGTCACCAACACACACCCCCAGGCCCCAGCCATATAATGCCGCTCCATGTGTTTCTTCACTTTCATCAGACTAACCAGTGAGCTAAGTCATGTTTAGTCTGTCCCACTCATGCACTTTTAATTTAGATTTGCATTACTTACATAAAACACTTATCAAGAAATTAAGATGCAACAACATGAAATGAAACTTCAGCCAATTCATTTATCAAGAAATTAAGATGCAACAACATGAAATGAAACTTCATTTATTTTGCAGAGTCAAGGTGGCCGTTGCTCCAATTAAGCCTGGACTATCTGTAGTCTAAAGCCATTACAGATTGAACTGTTGATATACGTACTTTATCATATCATTCGATTCACAGAGCTAAACACTAAGAATCCCCATTCCCAATTTAGGTCTCAGATTTTACAACTAAGTAAAGGAATGTATCCAGAACTTTCATATTATCAGAGTAAAGCAAGACCAGATAGACCAACCATCAAATTCTCATTCGTCACCATACATTCAAATTTACTTCAACACAAGCAGGCCCGAACTAACACAATATCAGTAAGATGCTCAATAGCAAAGATAGGGCGTAAACCTTCAGAGTTCTTATGGAAGTTGAGTGGGATAAGGTCCCCTTGCTTCAACGGAGCTCCAGTAACTGGGTGCTTACCAAACTTCTTTATGTAAGGAATGATATGCCTGGACCATTGAAAGCTACACGTCAGGAATCCAATACCCACAAACAAAACCTAAACCGATAACAAAAGGAAAGAATAGAAACTTCAAGCAAGGAAGATCGGTACATGATTTCGAAGATGCTGCCATCAGCTGTGCACACAGGAGACTCAAATGGCGTAAACGTGAGACTGCAAGCAAAAGACAAACAATCAGAACTGGCGATTCAAAGAGGACCCCTCCATCGTTCAATACAAATTCTACAAGAGGATGGTCGGAAGAAGAATTCTTACGCGCAGCAATAGAAGGGAAGACGCTTGAAAGGCGTCCGGAGCTCTTTGGACTTAGCGCCACCCCATTCCGTTGCCCATTCCGTTCTCGTTATGAACATCCGATCTTTGCTGTGCTGTTTCTTCCCCATTCTCTTTGCCGATTGGGAGGAGTTGCAATTGAATTAGGGTTCAGAAATTAGGATGATACTCCGCTCCAGTGAATCGCTCGCCAACTATGGAAGACTGTAGCTAAGCCTTTCTGACTGAGGTCGAGAAAGGTGACCTGCTGGAGGTTCTTTGGAAGGCGGAGAAGACACTGGATTGGAGTCGGTCAGCCTCCCGCCGACCTATAGCGTCGAGTCGTCGGCGATTTGAGTACCCAAGTTCTCCAAGAGTTCAGCGGTTCAGCCTATTGGATTGTGCCAATTTGGGCTTTCAAGGACGAAGCCCAAAACAAACATGAGGCTTGATTATGCTAGCGCTTAACCGTTAACCCGAGTGGCCGAGTCTGTGTTTATCAACCAAGTGAACTGAGTTTAGTGATGCTAATGTGCGGGTGGTACCTTAATATTCATATTTATCCCGTATTAAGTGTGATTAGGTTAGATAATATTTATTTGGATCCGAATACATTGATCAATTTTTATATATTATTTCAATGAACACTTCTACTATACTTTAAAGTATTGGTGCTTTAAATTACAATTTTAAGTTGTACCACAACGTTAAAGGTACAAGTTAGAGTTGTACCATAAGGGAATTTGATCTTTATGTTGTGGTACAACTTCAACTCTTCAATTGTAAAAAAAAAACTCTTCAAGTTGTACCATAACTTAAATGTACAACTTTAAGTTGTACCATAAAGGGATTTTACAAAAGAGTATAGGTACAACCTAAAGTTGTACCATAAAGGTAAAAAAACTAAAGCACCAATACTTTAAAGCATTGTAAAATTCCTCTATTTCAAAATATATTTATTTTTAACGATAGAATAAAAAGAACATACAAAAATGAAAATAGAGATAATGAATAGATTAATTGAGTTCAATTAGTTGAAAAACGAAGTCTTGCACTTATCTAAAGTATCATCTGAGTAAAAATATGAGTTAAGATAAGTCCAAATAGAAGAAATGCAAATAGATATTGAGACAAATCGGGTAAAACACGTCGAAAATGGGGCGGGATGTGCCTAAAGATATGCTCATGCATCACCCTGCTTGTCAGGTATTACTTGTCCTGTGCGGGTCAGGTCGGATAATAATCAACGAGAAAATTTCAGATTGCCATAACTAACTGGTATGAATACCGACGATTTACATTGGAAAAAGACTCTATCTTCTCACTCATCAAAAAAACCCAACTTTTCCTACAATTTTATCACAAACAACAATTAGAAATAACCAAGAAATGACAATGAGCCGAGTATGAGGTGGGTAGTAGTGAATCTGTCTTCAGCTTCGACTCCTAACCCATTGACTCGACTTGCTCCGTGAATGGGTTGCTATATTCTGACTCATTCTTTGTCGCACATGAGGTATGTAATATCCGCCCAGGCATGTTTATCTTTGATAACACAGATTTGAAAGGTGTCAAGTAAAAGTTCTTCAATATTTATGACTTAGTTTATGAGTCACATAGTTGAATTAAATTTGTGATGTTGCTATATTTTACCATCTCCAAGATATATTATGAGATCCATAGCTAATTCTGTTATGCAAACTCATATACTGAAAGGCAATCAAAATTTTAAATTAACCTATATACAATGATTTATTAGGATGAACGAATACTTAGACGCTCAAACATTCCGATACAAATAAAAGCTAAAACATTCGTCTCAATGTCAAAATGTGAGAAAAAGAGTAGGCTAGCTCTCCAAGGGAAGGATTAGAAATTGGAATACAGATGTTAGATTGCTGTGGATGTGGCTGCCATATTAAAAGCCATTGATGAACTTTATGCAACAAAAGGGAGGCAAAAGGGAAGGAAGGACCTTATGACAAGTTTCTTTTACACGATGAATTAAGCTCCATCCTCGAAGCCTTAAACTAGATTATCATTAGGGCTGGTATTCGGTTATGCGGTTAACAGTTTAACCGTATCGATAACCGACGGTAACCGATATACTGTTAATCGGAAGCTGTCTGTACACGGTGATAACATTGGATCTGTCGGTATACCATCTTCTACCCGGTTAAAAACCGGTGGTTAGTCGGTATACCGAATAAACCGACTACACAACCCTCACAGAGAGGATTTTCCCCCGTCTTTCGACTCTGTCTCCACTCAGCAATCTCTCCCCGTCTCCAGACTCAGTGATTTTGCAGGTCCCTCACCGGCCACTCGTATCATACCAGCCCCAACTCCAGCTGTGAAGGAAATCTCTCAACGACCACCCTCCGCCATGCCTCAGTTGCATCACGTTCCCGGCGGATTGAAAGCAGTGGCTTTCTCAATCCATATCTAAGACCGACATTGGATGGCGACGGTGGAACACGCGTTGGACGAAGATAGAGGATTCCATTGATTGTTTCTGCGCTTGAGCAGCAGCCAGACACTATTTCAATCGACGAATCGAAATCTCGAGGGTTGAATATGATTTTGGTGAATCAACAAGATTTTGTTGGGGATATCGAGAAAGAGAGGAGGTGGGCGGCGATTAGAGAAGGGAAGAATTTGGAGGAGAGAACTGGAGAGTCGAAGAGATGGAGATTGAATTTGCATGCGGAGGAATTTGAGGCAGAGCAGCCGGAACTAAGGCGGGGGGATATTTCGATCGAAGGTTTGCCCAGGTGAAGAGGATGAGCATGCCTGCGGAGAGGAGGAAGAGGAAGCTGGAGAAGTGAGTGGATTTCTTGGCAGAGATTGTAATTTTTAGTCTGGGTGGCGGCGAGCTTTTTTGGAAAAGCTTGGAAGGTAGAACTAGGGAGTCGAAGGCATGCGGCAGGGAGAGGATGCAGTTTGATGGTGACAACTGAAGTTTCCGGTAATTCGGTAACCGGGTTGTTAACCGTTATCCGGTTAGTCGGTAACCCGGTTAACCAGTTTCCACCAGATGTCGAGTGTCGGCAGCCATTTGGGAGGTTTCGGTATAGCGATAATCGGCTAACCGGTAACCAACCGTTTACCAGCCCTAAGTATCATCCAAAGTTCCATTATCATTCAACTTTATGATCTTAAAGAATCTCGAGTTATCATAAATAAAACAAATGTAGGTAGTGTGTGTTATATTCCAAATCCTCTCCTATTATATTATATTGGGTATATGCACAAAACTACACAAATTGTGTTAGGTAATTACTCATAGCTTATTATTATATGGGTAGAGGCCTGGGATTGTGATAGACCGTCATTTACACATGTTTTTACCCTCATACTTACACCGTTTGAGGTGTTGATTCTCGTGTTTTAGGCCGATTTCACGCTAGGTTGTGCTTGTTTGTGTTATTTCAGGTCCTAGTACGTGAATGAAGGCTTAGGAGCGAGTCTGGGGTCGATTGGACGCAGAACGGGCGAAGGGCGAGCTTTTTGGGGAGTGCACGGGCAGACCAGGAGGCTGCACAGCCGTGCACTTGAGCCATTAGGCCGTGCACCTCATGTCGAGGCCATGCACGGCCAGACCCTGAAGCTTGCACGGCCGTGCGCCTGGCCGTGCAAGGTGGATGAAGGCCGAATAATTGATACGGTGCGTTTTGAGGGTGCACGGCCAGAATGGTGTTGTGCACGGCCGTGCACCTGGCCGTGCAACTCGGGAAAGTCGGTTTTAAAGCCTAATTCGAGCCAAAAGTGGGAGAGTCGTGTTTTGAGAGCAAAAACAGAGCCCTAGAGAGAGAAAGTGCGAAGAACACATCCTAGAAGCTGTCCTAGAGCTGGATTTCATCGAATCGAGCCTGGAGATCGTCATAGGAGTGGAAATCATCGTCCCGGAGCAGATTATCCTCATCGTTATGAGTATGACTAATCCGATTCTTGTTTTCTCTTCTCTCTCTATGGAGTAGAACCCTTCTCTCACTTGGGTATGAAGAACCCTAGTTCCTTGTGTTAGGGATTTGATTGTAATGACTTGGGATGATATTACTGTTTGATTTTAATCGAATGACGCATGTTTAATGAATTGATTTGAGTCTGATCAGCTTGTCTCAATTTCTGCTTCAACCTGAGATAGATAGAATCTGATTAGGTTGTTAGAGCTTCTTCATTCGATAGTAGGAGATTGGCTATACGAGAGTTAGCCAGTTTACTGCTTTGTACTGGTGTTCTTGGCGCCAGTAGTGGAGTTCTGTGTTCATAGCCTTAGCTTTCTATCCCGGTGAAGACTAGTCGTCTGCCGGGTAGTTAGACTGAGAGGGCTTGGTCAGCTTAAGAGATTCCAAGCTACTGTCGGATCTTCCGCAGTCTAATCAACAGTAAATCAACCCAGGGAATTGCAATTGAACCTAACTAAGGGGCTAGGGGGACTCAATCCCGAGTGACTCTTGCCTGCTTTAGAAACCCGAACAATTTACTGCTTTCTTGTTGCTTTTACTTTTTACAACAATCACTCGACTTAGTTTGCTAGATAATAGAGAATCACGGAGTAAGCAGTAGATCTAGACCCCGGGTTGATAATTAAACTTGCCTATACTGCAGTCCCTTTCATTGGTTACACTTGGCCATTGTTAGGTGTTGTGTTTTAGCGTGTCAAGTTTTTGGCGGCAGAGGCGCACGGGCTATATAAATGGCCGTGCACGGCCATTGTGGTCAGAAAACCAAATTTCTTCGCCGGAAACCTCTCCCCTCGCCGGAAAACCGCGCCACACCCACCTTCTTTCGACTTTTCCGGCCACTTTGGGTACTTTTTTCACCAAATCAACACCAAACCCACTCCTTCTACACCCAAAGCGGCCTATCCCCCGAGTTTGAGCGTGTTTGGGCGACATTTTTGTCGCCGGAGGCGATTTCCGGCGAGAATCTGGCGAGGCTCCGACGAGCATTTCCGGCCAGATTTTCGGCAGTTCGTCGATTCCCTTGTCTTCCCCTCATCATCCCCTACACCTCTACTTGAGTCTCCAGGTTTGATTTTGTCCCTAACTATGTTAATTGTGGAGAATTGAGTGTGTAGGGTGTATGTTAGAGAATCCTATTGAATCATGTGATTTGTGTGAAATTGATTGAGGGGAATGCATGGGATGTGATTGAGTTATGTTGGGCAATGTCCCATTTGCTTGTTTGAGCCCTTGTGTGCAAGAATTTGGTCAATTTCATGCTTCACTTAATAGTGCACACAAGGTGTTCGATGAAATGCCTGTTTTCCATGCCATGTTGTGGCCACCGGTTGGGGCCCTTAATGATGTAGTTTGTGGGTGTATTTGCTATGGATGTGAACCTTGAGATGCCTACTTTCTTGTGAATGTGCACCCCCACCCAGATTATGCTTGATTCATCG